TCATTGCCATAGGTCATGGCGAGTAGGAGGTTGAATCGAACAGTTCCTCTATCGCGTGATTGGGCAGCTCACTGTCGACTAGCCGTGTGACAACAGGGTTAAAGTTGGCCCATGCCGCCTCCTTCTCGGTGATTGTATCGTCTAACGAATTCATGCTGTTCATCTGACGGCCGAGACAAATATCAACACAGAACAGGTAGAATATTCAAACGTTGCAGTGAGTCGAAATTTCATCTTTAATATTTACGACTGAGGCAGAAAGCGAAACTTCCTCTAAGCGTGTTCCGTGTTACTTATCGACTACTTTTTCCAATACCGTTTGCCTTAAACCACTAACCGAAGAAAACACCTCACGATACAATCAGGCCGTAATTCACTTCAGTTGGCATTGATGCTTTGACGCCCTGTTTTGAGATGAACGCCCTCCTTATCGCGGACGTCTGGCATTGTTGCTGTAAATCATCATAATTTGTGGCCATAGTGCCTTAGTGCACTGTTGCTTTCGTAAAGGCCTGTGCATAATTTTCACAGTCGGTAGCATAGAGTTGGAGCCTCTGACGTGAAGTATAAAGATCGACGACATGAGTCTCAGCTGAGTAACTCACCTTATATTCTCGCGAGGCAAACGGTTCAGTTCCTATATTTGGGAAATAAGCTGAAACATACACACTGTAGTGAATAACAGGCCGTGAGCAATACCTTGAGAAAAATTTTGTTTTTGACTTCGGTGTTCGTACAGATGAACAGGCGTGGCGGCACAGTGCGTAAGAGGTTAATTTCGAACTGTAACTCCGGAGGTGCCGGGAGTGTTTGTCTCCGCAACGAATTCTCGTGAGCAAGGAGTTTACCATGCATTGGTTCAAACCGAGAATAGAACTACAACTCCTAGTTTTGAGCCTCGATCAGTGTCACCTGTTTTTCTTCCTTTCGAGGTTGATAAATGCATGCCGCTGTGAAAAATGAATCGGAAGGAAACGAGCGAATACGGACTATGCTTGCCACATAGCTGCTGTCGATTCTGCCTGAAAGTGATCAGCGTTTTCACCATTCACATCATGAAAACAAGAGTATTAGAAATGGCCCATCATGCACTTCTAAGAAACAAACATTTCAAGGGCTACAAACTTTCTTTCGTTGCAGATCAGCAGAAAGCGAGCTATTTATTAGCTTAAGTTTATTTCAAAAGCCGATCTGAGCAAACACACGCCTATCAATGCCCATCGATGCATCGGTTCAAAATTTCGAAAGCACACGAAACCGGGAAGAAACTTAGAAAATTGAATGTATCAATCTCCGGTCTTCTAAGGGGAAACAACCGTCCGGGAAACTACTCCACATCACAGCGGTCTTTTGGTGTTCTTGTTTGCAGTGTTAATTGCAGGTAGTTGACTAAAAGTTTCACACCTGGACATAGAAACCAGTCAGAAGTTGCGACAAACACTTAGCGAGGTCATGCATATACAAGACATTCTTTGCTTTCGATGAAATATTGCGTTGATTACCATTTGACCTTTCTTTTGAACCTTGGAGCCTTCATGGTATTCGAGGAATATAATTGAATGGCAAAATTAATTATGGGAATATGTTTGAAGTGCAAATATGGAAATTATATACTCTAACGGAATTTCCTCAGGAAAGCGATCTCATTATTATAATGGAACGGTGTAGAACTTGCTGGAGCACTCAACGAGAACGCGAAGTAAGTTTTATGAAGATGCGCAAGCTCTGGCGTTGATCTTAATGGCTGGCTGGTACTTTGTGTCTGACAGAAGGTCAGCAAGTTAGTTCGCATCGAGCTGCTACGCATTTTCGTCGTCACTTGTCACTTTCTTTTTCTGAAGGTGTCAGATGGTTCATCAATACGGTTGTGTGTTTGGAAAGCACTTACACCACAAAAAATGTACTAGTATTTGTGAACCAGTTACTTTTCTGCCGTGACTATTGTCGAGGCTCTGTTTGCAGCGATACGATTCGAGGCTGCAGACAAATTGAGAATTAGTTAGTAATTAGTTGCCGGTCTCATTGTTTCGTTCTGTATCGGTTAGACGATCAAGCATTTTCGTCGACTCATGGACACTTCAGAAATAGGCAACCAATAGAAAAGTATGGTTTATAGTCAGTTTTGACACTGCCCCGTAAAATAACATGCGCTTATCACTCTTTGGGATCTCCAAATGCAGACTGTATTAATAAAATTTTCAAAGAAACTTCAGTCAAAAATCTATTCAGACCGAGTATGGTATTATTCTGTGATGACGTCATTTATTCTGTGAGTCGCTTTTATGAGTTTCACCCTTGTGGCCTAGTGTCAGAGGAGCAGTTAGGTCGATTATGAACTGCTTAGGCTAGGGGCCAGATTCAAATCCAGTGGATTGATAATCTTCGTCTCAGATGCGAGTTCCCTTGAGCGAGGAACTTACCCGACGTAGCGTCGACACAAGCAGCCGAGAAACGAACAGTAAGTCATTGAATCGTGAATAATAAGGACAGCCTGGTATTGTGATGTGGTCATTCCATTATGCACGAGTTGTACGGAGACGCTATCCGTTCTGAGTGCCCTTCTGGCTGCACTTCGCCCTGATCTTTTGGTAGCTGACAATCCAGTATAATGATCCGCATGAGGTATAATTTTAATTTCGATTTCTTGCCGACTGTTCGTGTGTTCTGATTGAGTTGTCTATGAAATTTTTTACCAAAGCGTCTTTCGCTTCTTTGCCTCGACGCCTGGCTAACTGGTTCCGTCAATGTTTGCGACAGTGAGCGGAAGCGAAGCGAATTCCACTTCAACTGGTAGGAAAAGCCTCGTGTCGCCTGCCGGAACGTACGTACGGAAGTTGAACGGTGACGTCACTCGTACCTC